TTTGCATTTAATGCGTGTATATACTATTAAATAGTAATTAAATGTATAATAAAAGCCAATGCCATTATTTTGCGACCAGTACATACATTTAAGTATCTAGGCACACGGATAACATCCGAAGGAAGATGTATCACGAAGATAAAGAACGGAATAAGACAAGCCAAAATTGCATTTTATAAAATGAAGAATATTTTGTGCAATAAATACATGTAATTGGAGGTTAGGAAAAGAATTCGTGAAAGCTATATAGAGCCAGTTTCAACAAAACAGCTGTGAAGCCTGGAAAATTAATAAACAAGACAAACATTATCTTGAGACCTCGGAGATGTGGTTTTACAGTAGAATCCTTAGAATTCCTTGGATAGCTAAGAAAAGCAAACGTTTTGAAAGAGGCGAGTGCTCGAGCACAACTTACCACAAACATCAGAAACAGATAGTCGTCAAGTTTTAGTCATTTCATGAGAAGAGGGAAAATGGAGCATGTTGTGACCACTGAAAAAGATCTGTGGAAAGAGAGACAGTGGAAGACAACGGAAGAATATTCGTGACGGCTTTTTGTCAGGGATTGGGGGGGGGGGGGGGGGGGGGGGGGGGGGGGGGGGGGGGGGGGGGGGTTAACGCACGAACTGATACACGCAGTTGCGGAACGCAGATTGTGGAAAGGCCAGATCGCCTACGCCAGTCGGCAAGGCACTTGATGATGGTGCTATTGGCTTTGCCAAGACTGCCGTCGGTACAAGGAACAGTGACGGGCCATTCTGTGTGGGTTTTCCTTAGAACAAGATCGGAGCAACTATGGGGTGACCCGTTTGCTGTGAACTTCGACCTGCAACTACCTGACGATCTGAATGGACTGCACGGGATGGAGAAGGTTGGGGAAAAAAACGCACTAATCCGGATGGTGCTCTCTTGTTTAAAAAGCAACAGAAATGCAGTTATCCAATTGCGCGTTTTTTTTCTCCAATTTATGGACAAGTCCGTACGCCTAAAAACTGTCAATGACCCAGATGCAAAAGAACCGTCAACTGATTAAGTGAAGGTATTCTTATGTGTAATTTAAACATTTTTTCTCTTTAATTACTCACATTTTTAAAGTCAATAGTATGACAGTATTATGTTCCTTTCAACAGAAGTATCCACCCCACCCCTTTCCTTTTCCAGTAGCAAAGCGCAATAGAAAAAGTAGGCGTTTCTTCCCTTCCGGAGACCTGGGTTCGAATCCTCGGTAAGGCTGAGGATTTTTTTCTGTCGGGGGTATCATAAAACCTTACCTGCACAGTCCGTGGCGACAGCACCAGCCATACGGCCGTAAATCCTCAGGCTCACAGACTCCCCTGCCTACACCGCAAAAAGTGTTGCAATGGAGGCAGTAATTGGCAGTTCCTCCCCTCTCCCCTAAAGTAGTAGTTCTCAGCCATCCTAGTGCGGCGACTCTTTAAAACAGTACTTTATGTTGTTGTGACCCCCAAACATAAAATTATTTTCGTTGCAACTTCAGTGAATATGTGTTTCCCGATAGTCTTAGGCAACCCCATGTGAAAGAGTCCTTCGACCCCTAAAAGGGTGGCGACCAACAGGCTGATATATAAGGCACGACTGGACAGGGGTGAATGATTTCATTGTACAGCAGCAGAAAGAAATGGATGTGCGCTTCCAGAGACATGGGCATAAACTAGTTCTGTAAACATTTCAAAAGGATACGCTCAACACATCAAAAACTTCTCCAAATGTCACTTGTTTTGTTTACATTTCATATTCTAAAATGTTATGACATTGTTATAAAAGCAATAGCGCCGTTTAACTTCCCGAATATGCCCATACATCTGCAAGAACATGTATGCGATAACATCGGGCAAGATCTTAACCGTTTGTGTGTGTGTGTGTGTTTTTTATGTTCCCCATATAAAACGATCTTGTTGTAACCAGTTGGTGAAACGGAATAACAAACTGTTCTTTAACACACACGAAACAAACACAAGCTTTTATATCCAAACCCACTCCTTAGTTAATAGTATGTGTTATGGGGAATTACAAAAGTTTAATAACACGATAAATGTAATTTCGCGGGAACAAGGCTTTTATGGTTACCAGCATACAGCAGTAGGAAAGCTGTCATCATCATAATCATAAACCACTTCTGCCGTCAAGAGCCGTGGGGAGGAATAATTTGCAATCCAGTGCACGTTGGATGCCACTGGCTATTGTCATGCCGTCAAGGCGTAGTGTCTTTTATGTTATTGATCCGTTTTCCGCGGCCGCCCTCTTGCTCTTGTAGCTGATCGTCTGAGATGTAGTGCTTGTGATGGTATTTGATCTTGCTGCATTCTAACGAAAACAATTCATTGGATAGCTAAGAAAAGCAAACGTTTTGAAAGAGGCGAATGCTCGAGTACAACTTACCACAAACAGATAGTCAAGTTTTGGTCATTTCATGAGAAGAGGGAAAATGGAGCATGTTGTGACCACTGGAAAAGATCTGTGGAGGAAAGCTGTAGCAACTGGGAAAAAAAAAAAATAAAAAAAAAAAAATTAAATACGTGTCACTAAAACAGTATTTGGTGATCTTTCCGCGGGGTTGTTGAACTACTGGGAATGCTTACCATATCAAAGAGTCTGCTGATAAAACTTGAACGCATACAGAATGAAAGCATGCGGGTAATTCTTGGATGTACAAGAGATACCCCGATAGTATGCATGCAATACATACTTGCACTGCCTACTATTGCAGATAGATTCAAAGTTCTGCAAAGTCATATCTCAGAGTAGCTGAGGACAAGAAGCATCTCCTGCAGGAAGCCCTAGGCAGAGCTAAGGGTCACAAACTGAAAACAGGATGGTCTTGGAAGGCCCAAGCTGAAGACACAATTCGACATGTGTGCAGGTTTGATAAATTTGGGCGCCGGAGAGGACTGGGTCAAAGTGTCCGAGCAAGACTCAGGCTGTGTAGGGTTCTAATCAGTTTAGGTTGTGAGTGCAGGGACTGGCCTTCTGAACACAGTGTTTATGTTTGACATTAATAGCAAAGCACTGGTAAGAATGGGAGTCGCCGTGGCGTTGGTGGTTACACCGCCTGCGGAAGGTCATGTGTTCGTATCCTGACAGAGCCCCATTTTTTTTTTAAAAATTACCTTGCCTCCCAGCCTTGAGTGGGTACTAGGTGCAGTCCTGGAATGTAAAGGTGACCGGCGTCATGCTGACCACATCACCCCACCAAGTGCTGATTGGTCTATAAAATAACGGTCTAGCCCTATATTCCCAATACACCTAAAGGTGGAGAAAAGGAACCTTTTGGTTAGAATAATAACCAATAATAAAAACATGTTTTTGTTTTGTTTTTTACGGTAAAGGTGTCGATGTCTGTGGCTTAAGTGTTGCAAAAGCGCTTCGTAATGCAGGGTACCAGGTTCGATCCCAGCTGCGGGCCATGGTTTCGACAGTGGTATTGAGAAGCCAACCATTCAGGAAACAATGACAAACTATTGGACATAAATTTGCCTAGAAAAACTACAACAGCCAGAAAAAAATGCTGCGGTTGGTTCTGCAATGTCCTGTAAAGGATATGCAACTAACTAACAATATAGGTGGGTGGGGGAAAGGGAGGGTATTTAAATAATCGAAAAATTCATTGGTAGGTGGAAGGGAACTTTATGGTAGCATCTTTCAGGTTTTCAGGTAAGTCGCATTAAAGAGTGAGAAGTCCTGACATGTTCTACAGACTATACACACATTCTGCACACCACACACAATCTACAGACTATACACACATTCTACAGACCATACACACATTCTGCACACCACACACACATTCTACAGACAAAACACACATTCTGCAGACCATACACACATTATTCACACATACTGCAGACAAAACACACATTCTGCAGACCATACACACATTATACAGATTATACACACATACTGCAGACAAAACACACATTCTGCAGACTATACACACATTATACAGACCATACACACATACTGCAGACAAAACACACATTCTGCAGACCATACACACATTCTGCAGACCATATACACATTCTACAGACCATACACACATTCTACAGACCATACACACACCCATATCAAATTAATAGCCTTTCCACATGACAAGTCCTTCCACATCAAACAAGTCATCAATCACAACGCCTCCCTCACATATCAAACAATACAAATCACACACTACACCCACCTCACACATCAAACAAGTCATTAACCACAACACCTCCCTCACATATCAAACAATAAAAATCATACACTACACCCACCTCACACATCAAACAAACTCTCACACATTACATAACCCTCACACATCAAATAATCTGTTGTCACATCAGACAAAAACCACTACATATGGCTCCACATACACCTCAAACAAGTTCTCACACATTACACACAATAACAAATCACATATAGTACATCATTAGTGCTTCAGAAGTCCTGGATAGTAAGCATTTTTTGGATATTTTCTCTGCGGAAAGAAGGAGTTTTGGTAAACGAAAGTGCAGAAAGACTGGCTGGTTCTGTATCAATGGGTGGTGAATTTATTCATAAAAAGCTAGATGTGATCAAGGACCTTTGGCAGCAAGTGAAAAATGTGAAGGCACAAATAGACCATTATGGTCTGGAGAGAATGGTACCGCTTGGAGTGACCAGGGGATCTGGTCAACTATCTACACACAGAGGACAGGCAAGATGGACATTTAATCAAACTGTTACTCGCACCATCGGAACTGGGATTCCTTACTGGCTGTCGAAAATGATGATGGAGCACTTGTGGGAATGTCCTGACTTCTGTGATGTTAATTTTTAGCTCAATCAACACATATGTTACACTACATTAATCAAAAACACACACCAGAATAACAAAGGGAGAACAAAGATTTTATATATGTGCCAAACACACACACACAAAACCACTAAGCTCTCTCACACGGCCACTCACAGTTCGACTTTCTCATGCACAGATTTTTATTTTCATGAGACTGTCGGCCGTTAACTTTTCATTTCTCTGTCTTCTTGTCATCTGGAGGTACATTATCCGAATGCTGCTTTCTTTTTGTTTTGTGATCCGCTAAAATCTGCAGAGTTGATTTTCCTTTGAACGACTCCATTAATTCCCCAACCTCCTTATCAATCTTGTCTTCCAGTGAAGGAGCATCTTGAAACTTGAGCGAGGACAAAGATTCGTCAATTTCATCAACCACATTAGTCGGAGGAATAAGGGCAGCGGCCACAGCCCGTCTGTCTATGTTCAGGAAGTTGAAAGTTGCACACGCTTGTTCCTGAAATGATCAGAACAAAATGTATGTTCAATTTCGCCAGTATGAATTTTTTTTTTTAATGGTCTATTTTTCTCACACAATAATTGTCTATGATCAATTTCCCCCACATAATAATTATCCATGAACAGTTTTTCCTGTACAATAATTGTCCTTGATAGATCCTTCCTACAAAATAAATGTCTATGATTGATCCTTCCCACAAAATAAATGTCTATGATTGATCCTCTCATAAAATAACTGTCTATGATTGATCCTCAGAAAAAATACATGACTATTATTGACCCTTCCATATAATAATTGTCTATGATTGATCCTCTAAAAAAATAATTATCTATGATTGATCCATCAAAAAATAATTGTCTTTGATTGACCCTCTCAAAAAATAATTGTCTATGATTAATCCTCCCCTAAAATGACTGTCTACTATTGACCCTCCCATAAAATAATTGTCTGTGATTGATCCTCTCAAAAAATAATTGTCTATGATTAATCCTCCCATAAAATAATTGTCCATGATTGATCCTCTCTTAAAACAACTGTCTACTATTGATCCTCTCATAAAATAACTGTCTACTATTGACCCTCCCATAAAATAATTGTCTGTGATTGATCCTCTCATAAAATAACTGTCTACTATTGACCCTCCCATAAAATAATTTTCTGTGATTGATCCTCTCATAAAATAACTGTCTACTATTGACCCTCCCATAAAATAATTGTCTGTGATTGATCATCTCATAAAATAACTGTCTGCTACTGACCCTTCCATAAAATAACCGTCTATGATTGATCCTCTCATAAAATACGTGTTTATGATTGAACCATAAAATAACTGTCCATGATCATCTGTGTGTATTCCCTTTGTGGATTCCGGTGCAAACATTTTGGAGAGCAAAGAACAGACCCACTGTTATCATAACAAGCAGGTCGCAGAAGGTGACTAAAAAAGGCGTTTCCTTCAAAGTCAGAGTGCATCTGCCTGAGAAGCAAGAAACCAACAGTCTGCACACAAATAAGCCAGGTCTTCGAAATTGATCAGATAGTTGCGTATCCTTTACAGGACTTTGCAGAACCAAGCCCAGCATTTTTTAGGGTGTTGTGGTTTTTCTAGGCACATTTCATGTTCAGTGGTGTGCCACTGACCTAAACAGTCGGCTCTCTGTCCCACTATCGAAACCAACACGAGACAAATCGTCCGCAGCTGGGATCGATCCTAGTATCCCAGTATTATCTTCTTCTTCTTCTTCACGTTCAACAGATGTAAACTCTGGCAGAAAGTTCTTTGCTGGTCCACTACTGAACTGCAGTCCTGCTCCAGAACCTGAGTGTTGTGTGTGCATCAGTTTTACAGATCTCATTCTCTTGAATACAGAATGTTGGTTCCTTGCCTCTCCGGCAGATGCACTCCGACTTCAAAGGAAGCTCCCCAATTAGTCGACTCTTACGAAGTGCTTTTGAGGAGGCAGTGGGTCTATTCTTGTTTTGTCCACAATGGGACCCCGGAAACCACACGGGGGTCCTGGCATTATGAAGCACATTCACACACCTAAGCCAAAGATGCCGATTTAAACAAATTGATTTGGATACAAAACTCTGGATCAAAACAAAAGTCCAGGAGTGGACAAACAACCAGAATCTTTCCACCAGAGTTTACAGCCGGTGAATGCTGAGAAAAAAGTCTGCATGTATGTTTTTGTACCAGTAATATCCTTGAGTTGAGTTAAACATTGACATCACAGCAACTGGGACACTCCCATAAGTGCTCTGTCCTGATCTTAGGCAGCCAGCTCCAATTCCAGTGGATACCAGAGGCAGTTTGATTATTTTTACTGTAATATCATGCTCACTTTTGCCTACTGAGCTGGTGTTTGCAAGACTGCAACTCTCCCCCACTGACCCCCAATCCTCCTGGTCAAGGCAGTCTCACATGTCTAGTATACATTTTTCTAGAGAATGCAGTTGACTGAGATATCAAAATGGCTGATCTATACTGTTCACACACACAAAAAAGAAACGCATAGTAATCTGATGGTGCGTTTTTGTTAGTTGTAAATAAAATATCGTACTCGGGTATGTGAAAAGCAAACTTAAATGTTGATTACCATGTCCAGTGGACATGTGGGCGTGAATTGCGTCGGTTTTTGTAATCGTTACAACACAGTGGTCATTTGTGTCCAAGACCATATTTGTGAGCATAGCTCACGATGGGTGCATGAGAAAGCAACAAAATTACGAGTCGGACTGGCAACGCGTAAGCCACGGACGCTGCCTAATATGTGCAGTAGGTCTACTATATTTTCAGATTTCAGGGGACATAGCAACAACAACAAAATGGTTGCAAAATTTTCCAGCCCAATCCTGGTGGCCCAAGAAAATGAATGTGTGAACTGGAAGCGGTCACTTCTCTGCTTCTCAATGTTCCTGCCGTGTGGCGTTGGTAGTCATGTCTATCCACAACCTGTTTCATGTACTTTCAATCAGTTCTGACAGAGATGATCCTCCATGCCATGATGTCAAACTGTCCAGCATCTTCTCTCTCAGTTTTCCTCTTCTTCTCTTCTCCTCCACCTTTCCCACCACCAGGGCAGACTCCAGTTTTCTCCTTCTTCCCATCACATGACCAAAGATTGTAGATTGTCTTTTCCTGATGCGAGCAATCAGTTCCCTCTGGGAGTTAGTTTCTTTCAAGACATCATCATTACTCTTTTTATCTGTCTAGGGTATTGTTATCACTCGTCTATAAAACCACATCTCTGCAGCTTTTTTCACTTATCTACCAACTCTCCATGATTCACTTCTGTATATCAAGATGGGATTTATACAGCTTTTAAGAATGCTCCTTTCTCCTCTCAACTGACAAAGAAAAACTGCATAGAATATTTTTCCTTTCGTAAAAAGCCACATCACTTCTCAGCCCAGACATAAACTTACCGTGGGAAGTATTTCTACGCTTATGTTTTTGCTCTTCAAGTGCCTGAATACTTTGTTGTCAACTTTTGCGTCTTCATCACCTTTTCCAATGACGAGAATGTCTGAAGATTGACAAGAAAGAAATTGTCAGATTAAACAATTAAAACTTATCTGTGTTTATGAATTTTTTTATAAGAATTTCAAGCCTTTAAGATTTATTGCTGCAGATCCTTGTGTGGGTTCCGGGGCCCCAAATGAAAACTAAATTAAGAATCGACATCACAGTACTTGGGACACCCCCATAAGCACTCCGTCCCCATCTTTAGCAGCAAACGGAGAGTTCTAGTTCCAATGGCGTCAGTAACTGTCTGATTGTATATCCCTCTCACCCTTCCCTTGGTTGCAAAACCTTTCCTTGTGGCCCCATTGTAGGGGAGGGGTGGGGGAGGGCAGATTCAATGCCTCCCTAACAAACATGTGATAAGAGTCAATCAATTAAGGCTTTCCTTTAAAGTCTGGGTGCATCTGCTTGAGGGGCAAAGGAACCAATTCATAAATCTGCGTATAAGTAAGTCATCAACGCGTAGCAGGCCTTTTGCAGAACGTCCCTCTCATCACTGTCTGCCTGAAAGAAACGTGACTCTCACCAGCTCTCCTGCCTCGTGTACTTTTATATTCAAGGAGACACTTATAACCTGTGCCCATCTTCGCGTTGATTGCCCCCTGCCCCTCCTTCCCAACAGTATGCCTTTGCTATGATATTTTTCCAATCCATTATGGCGCTTGATATGATCAACATATTTCAGCTTCCGGGACAAGAAAAAATAAGTCAGACCTGTAAAATGAGTGTACACGCAAAAACTCAAGTTTTGGAACAAGGCTGTGAACATGAAGAAAATGTTGATCTTTGTAACTGGTCTTCTTTTTCCAATTAGTGTTTGTCGGTCTGCCTATATATTATCTCTCTACTATCTTCTTGGTCTGCCTCACTGTCTATTCCCATTCAACTCTTTAACGTGTGCACTTGTTTGCTCTTTGTTATATGCCACTCTCTATATGCCCCAAGCACAGCAGTCTATTAGTGCTACTATTTAGTGGTGATTTAGGTCCTATTTATGGAGTCCGTCACAAACATAGCATAACTGGGCTTTCATTCATTCTTTCTCAGGCTTATCTTGACTCCAGTTACATCAGAGACAATGTCGCATGTTTTATAATACACAACGACACAGCTTCTAACGACCTCAAAACATCCAGAATTGACCCTAACCCAACCCCACACGAGAAAGTCTTTTCAATGAAATCAGTATACCGTGACAGCCCTCTCATGTAGTCCAGCCTAAGCAAACATGAATGAAAGGTCAGCCGTATGTAGTTTGGCCGGACTTCGGGAATAGGATCATGATTTAAACAGTTTATGCAATTTTTTCTTCTGATTCTTCTTTCGTTCACTTGAAACAGAGTATCTATATCTGCAGTGTTGTCTCTAGCATAAACTTCACTGTCTTTTGTAATTCACAAAAAAAAATTATTCAGTAATAGAAATGCTGAAAAATTGGGGTAGGCGTAGATTAGGGTTAGGGAAGGCAAATGAGAGACTTGCCAAAACTAGGCAGTATAGTTCATTCTGTGAAGTTTCTCTCTCTCTCTCTTGTGCACTCATGCGACATGTTTTTTTTCTTTATATCTGAAAAAGTCAGATTTTCTAACATACATTTGTAATTTCAAGTTGTATTTACATGCCCTACAGGAATGACCATCTACATAACTTTTACTACTCTACAGGACTGACCATCTACCTAATTTGGGTACTAGTCTACAGGACTGACCATCTACCTAACTTGGGTACTAGTCTACAGGACTGACCATCTACCTAATTTGGGTACTAGTCTACAGGACTGACCATCTACCTAACATGGGTACTAGTCTACAGGACTGACCATCTACCTAACTTGGGTACTAGTCTACAGGACTGACCATCTACCTAACTTGGGTACTAGTCTACAGGACTGACCATCTACCTAACATGGGTACTAGTCTACAGGACTGACCATCTACTTAACTTGGGTACTAGTCTACAGGACTGACCATCTACTTAACTTGGGTACTAGTCTACAGGACTGACCATCTACATAACTTGGGTACTAGTCTACAGGACTGACCATCTACATAACTTGGGTACTAGTCTACAGGACTGACCATCTACCTAACTTGGGTACTAGTCTACAGGACTGACCATCTACCTAACTTGGGTACTAGTCTACAGGACTGACCATCTACCTAACTTGGGTACTAGTCTACAGGACTGACCATCTACCTTACTTGGGTACTAGTCTACAGGACTGACCATCTACCTAACTTGGGTACTAGTCTACAGGACTGACCATCTACCTAACTTGGGTACTAGTCTACAGGACTGACCATCTACCTGGTACTTGGGTACTAGTCTACAGGACTGACCATCTACTTAACTTGGGTACTAGTCTACAGGACTGACCATCTACTTAACTTGGGTACTAGTCTACAGGACTGACCATCTACCTAACTTGGGTACTAGTCTACAGGACTGACCATCTACCTAATTTGGGTACTAGTCTACAGGACTGGGACCATCTACATCTAACTTGGGTACTAGTCTACAGGACTGACCATCTACCTAATTTGGGTACTAGTCTACAGGACTGGGTACTAGTCTACAGGACTGACCATCTACCTAACTTGGGTACTAGTCTACAGGACTGACCATCTACCTAATTTGGGTACTAGTCTACAGGACTGACCATCTACCTAATTTGGGTACTAGTCTACAGGACTGACTTGGGTACTATCAGGACTGACCATCTAACTTGGGTACTAGTCTACAGGACTGACCATCTACACATGGGTCTAGTCTACAGGACTGACCATCTACTAACATGGGTACTAGTCTACAGGACTGACCATCTACCTACTTGGGTACTAGTCTACAGGACTGACCATCTACCAACTTGGGTACTAGTCTACAGGACTGACCATCTACCTAACTTGGGTACTAGTCTACAGGACTGACCATCTACCTTGGGTACTCTGGGTACTAGTCTACAGGACTGACCATCTACCTAACTTGGGTACTAGTCTACAGGACTGACCATCTACCTAACTTGGGTACTAGTCTACAGGACTGACCATCTACCTAACTTGGGTACTAGTCTACAGGACTGACCATCTACCTAACTTGGGTACTAGTCTACAGGACTGACCATCTACCTAACTTGGGTACAGGACTAGTCTACACTTTGGGACTGACCATCTACCTAACTTGGGTACTAGTCTACAGGACTGGGACCATCTACCTAACTTGGGTACTAGTCTACAGGACTGACCATCTACCTTACTTGGGTACTAGTCTACACTTGGGACTGACCATCTACCTAACTTGGGTACTAGTCTGGACTGACCATCTACCTAACTTGGGTACTAGTCTACAGGACTGACCATCTACATAACTTGGGTACTAGTCTACAGGACTGACCATCTACCTTACTTGGGTACTAGTCTACAGGACTGACCATCTACCTAATTTGGGTTCTAGTCTACAGGACTGACCATCTACCTAACATGGGTACTAGTCTACAGGACTGACCATCTACCTAACATGGGTACTAGTCTACAGAACTGACCATCTACATAACTTGGGTACTAATCTACAGGACTGACCATCTACCTAATTTGAGTCCTGGTCTACAGGACTGACCATCTACCTAACATGGGTACTAGTCTTCAGGACTGACCATCTACCAAACTTGGGTACTAGTCTACAGGACTGACCATCTACATAACTTGGGTACTAGTCTACAGGAATGACCATCAACCTAACATGGGTACTAGTCTACAGGACTGATTATCATCCTAGCTTGGGTACTAGTCTTCAGGACTGACCATCTACATAACTTGGGTACTAGTCTACAGGACTGACCATCTACCTAACTTGGGTACTAGTCTACAGGACTGACCATCTACCTAATTTGGGTACTAGTCTACAGGACTGACCATCTACCTAATTTGGGTACTAGTCTACAGGACTGACCATCTACCTAGCTTGGGTACTAGTCTACAGGACTGACCATCTACCTAACTTGGGTACTAGTCTACAGGACTGACCATCTACCTAACATGGGTACTAGTCTACAGGACTGACCATCTACCTAACATGGGTACTAGTCTACAGGACTGACCATCTACCTAACATGGGTACTAGTCTACAGGACTGACCATCTACATAAATTGGGTACTAGTCTACAGGACTGACCATCTACATAACTTGGGTACTAGTCTACAGGACTGACCATCTACATAACTTGGGTACTAATCTACAGGACTGACCATCTACCTAACATGAGTCCTAGTTTACAGGACTGGCCATCTACCTAACTTGGGTAATAGTCTACAGGACTGACCATCTACCTAATATGGGTTCTAGTTTACAGGACTGACCATCTACCTTACATGGGTCCTAGTTTACAGGAGTGACCATCTATCTTACATGGGTCCTAGTTTTCAGGACTGACCATCTACCTAACTTGGGTCCTAGTTTACATGACTGACCATCTACTTTACATGGGTCTTAGTTTACAGGTCTGACCATCTACCTAACTTGAGTACTAGTTTACTGGACTGACCATCGACCTAACTTGGGTACTAGTTTACAGGACTGATCATTTACCTAACATGGGTCCTAGTTTACAGGACTGACCACCTACCTAACTTGGGTTCCAGCATACAGAACAGTGCCAGGGACTCTGGGGTGATTTCTGTGGCTGACCACACCTGTCACAAATTAATCACAGCATTAGCAAATACACACATATTTTGTAACACAAGATACTTGCGAGAAAATGTATATCTACCTACATTTATTCATAACATGAAAAAAATATACTACAAAAATTTTAAACCAAGCTGTCAGATAATATATAAACTAACATGAAATAAATCAAATGTTTATACACAATTTACAAACTAATTTACAAAAGGAATCAAATGTTCATAGAATAGAAAACTAATATGAGCAAAGCCAAAGATTATTTAAAAAAAAAAAAAAAGGAAAAAAAATCCAAGTGAGAACTTGGGGCGTGGGGGTTAACTAAATACATTAATTCTGAGTATCGTTTCGAGCTGACAAGCGGAATATGTAAGACGTGGGTGCTGTTCATTTACCATCATGGTGGGAAATCACGATGATTCTCTTAAATCTTAGATCATAAAACGTATCGTCCTTTCATTACAGCAAAACATCATGAACGAGCCTACTTTTACTGGCAGCCTGTGTTCTTCTTCTTCTTCTTCTTCTTCTTCTTCTAAGCATTCAACAAGGGGATTTAGTCGATGCTCCACACTCAGGTCAAAGGCGAGAAGGATATACAATGAGATGAAGATGGAGCACTTATGGGAATGTCTCCAGTGCTGTGATGTCAGTCTTTGCTTGTCTCAAATCACCTCAGCTAATATACGTAAACACTTCGCACTTCATATGACAGTTATATCCATTTTGGGGTCAGCTTTGGATGGGTTATAAACTTGTTATGAGTTGAGAGCTGACATCACAGCGCACGAGACATTCCCAAAACTGCTCTGTTCCAAACTTCAGCAGCCAGTGAAGATTCTGATGGTACCTTGTGTGTGTTGTCCATCAAGATGATGATGACCACTCTTTTTCATCAAGTATGAGTACGAAGATGACCGATGAGGCCGATGCGGGCCCGAAGAGTTCTTGGACAGTGAAGACAGGGAATGAGCGTTGTGCCAGGGATGGGATCTCCTGCAGTCGCCTTTCTGTCCATCCTTTTGTTAATAAGTCTTGCTGTTCTGTTTGTTTCAAATGTAGCCGCGCCCTTGCATAAAGCTGCACGCCATGCATTTCGGTCTTGAGAGGCAGCCTGCAATTGGTGTCATTCATCCCAAATGCTTTGAGTGAAGACTTCAAGGTGTCCTTAAATCGTTTATTTTGACCATCTAGGGAACATTTCCCATTTTGCAGCTCACCATAGAAGAGTTTTTTTGGCAGCTTGTGATCTGGCATGCGTGCCACAAGACCAGCCCAACAAATTTGATACTGCATCAGTAGAGTGTGGATGCTGGGCATGGCTGCTTTCTCAAGGACTACGGTGTCAGGTACCAGTAACAATCTGACTGTATGTTCGTCTTGCCCCTCTCACGAGTGTTGAGCATCAGCCAGATGCCCTGGCCACTCCTTGCTGCACCATTCTCTTCCTGCCACGATGATCTATTTGAGTATATGTGAGTGCGCGCGCGTGCAAGCGCACATATGCGTATAAATGAGTGTGTAAGTGAATGGGTGAGTGGTGTATATGTATGCGCGCGAGAGTGTGAGCATGCATTTTTATAACGATGTAATTTTTTTTCATATTCATAATATACATGTTTCTTTATAAACAAGACACGCTTTATTGAGAAAATACTTCCCGTGTGGGTTCCGGGGCTCCATTGTGGGAAAAACAAGAACAGACCCACGGACTCCACAACAAGCGTGTCATAAGAGTGGACAAACTGGAGGCTTCCTTCGAAGCCCGAGTGCATCTGCCTGAGAGGCAAGGAACCAACAGTCTGCATACAGATGTGTAAGATTTATAAGATGGATGTACATGCAACACTCAGCTTCTGGAAGAAGTTCAGAGGTGAAGGAACAACCAGAAATTTCCCTTGGAGTTTACAGCCGATGAATGTGAAGAAGACGAAGACAAAATACAACTGCTACATGAAAGATGGGTGTTTGGAAGGGCCGAATGCAACATTGGCCTGCGTGGCCAATTTGTGACTCTGTGAAAACAAAGTTTGTTCATGCATTCGGTTTTTGTGCCTCTGCACTATTTACCCATGCCCAAAGTGCCATTACAACATCTAGTTTGTCATGCATCAATTTACCACCATGTGGTGCCAACCAGTCTATCTTCCTGTTTTATTTTCCAACACACCAGCAAATGCTAGAGAAAATATTAAAGGATGTTAACTACAAGAGACTTTTAAAGTGATGATTGTCACTCACCATGTAGCATACATGTAAAGCTTTGAACAGTCATACATGACATTAAGGAGAGATGACAGAGTTATTATTCAAAAACTTACATTCCAGTGAAGAACAAGTCGGGGAAACAGAGCACATGGACCAATGGCTCTTAGTCCTGTTGAGAATCGGAAACCAATATTGCTGTAGGACACAACGTAATTGTGAGACTCGTCTTCTCTGACGACCATTGACATGTGTGTTTTTTGTGGGGTCTCCCCATCAAAGTTGTGGTGCCGAACACTGACACTGCAAACAGAAAGTTTGACCAGTTATGTGTAATAGATAGAGATACCTAAACAGGGTATAAGTGTAATATATACCTAGATACAAATACCTAGAGTATAAGTATAATATTTACCCAGATATAAATACCTAGAGTATATGTGTAATATATACCCAGGTACAAATAACTAAATAGAGTATATGTGTAATATATACCTAGATACAAATAACTAAATAGAGTATTAGTGTAATATATACCTAGATACAAATACCTAAATAGATAATTAGTATAATATATACCCAGATACAAATACCTAAATAGAGTATTAGTGTAATATATACCCAGATACAAATACCTAGAGCATAAGTATAATATATACCCAGATACAAATACTTAGAGTATAAGTGTAATATATACCCAGATACAAATACCTAAATAGAGTATATGTGTAATATATACCTAGATACAAATACCTAGATAGAGTATAAGTGTAAAGAATGCCTAGATACAAATACCTAAACAGAGTATAAGTGTAAATAATGCCTAGATACAAATACCTAGAGTATAAGTGTAAAGAATGCCCAGATACAAAAACCTAAACAGAGTATAAGTGTAAAGAATGCCTAGATACAAATGCCTAGAGTATAAGTGTAATATATACCCAGATAGAGATACCTAAATAAAATACAAGTGTAAAGTATACTCAGATACAGATAACTAAACAGAATATATGTGTAATATATACCTAGATACAAATACCTGAATAGAGTATAAATGTAAAGAATGCCCAGATACAAATACCTAGAGTATAGGTTAAAGGATTCCCAAACACAAATACCCAAATAAAGTATAGGTGCAAAGTATACCCAGATACAAATACCTAGAGTATAAGTTTAATATATACAGTCGAGTCTATTGAAGTGAAAGTCTGATAAGACGGATTTCACTTAAGTCGACATGACCAGCTTAGCCATGGCTAAATTCCTACTTTATCTTTGCATTTAAAATCCTGATAAGTCCAATTCTGTTAACTCAAATATTTTGATTAGTTGAATCTAAAAATAAAAACTGACTATATATGTGTTGATGTACTGAACTGTCTATTATTACGTGCCAGCTCTTTATGATATGTTTTAGAAGGGTGGGTGAAAAGTGAGATGTATAAAAAAAATTAAATTATTATTTCAGCCGGTAAATACATGATGACAGCCACACATGGGGTAGGAGTGGTCACCTGGCATGCAGTTGCTTCTAGGTTCACACTTGGAGGAGGTGAGAAAGGACAAAGTGATGTCACTTAAATTTCCATTTCTATTTTCAGCACAGCTCATGTTTACAGTGCATTTGACGATCAGTGTTCTAACTTCCCTATTTTCTGCTTTCTCCTTCCCTCTTCTACCTCTCTCTCTCTTCTTATTGTCTTTTTTTTAATCTCTCTATTATCACTCTGTTCTCTTGCTCTCCTTCTTCCTGCCCCTACTCTCTTCTTCCTGTTTCCTCCTCTCATCTGATATCTTCTCCTCCTCTAATTCTTCCATATACTCTCCTCCTTTGTTTTCTCTGTATTTTTCTCTTCCATGCCATTTCTCTGGTTTACTAAATTTACTGCCCAATAACTGTCTTTTCCCTGTGGTAATGTCTAGTAAACAAGAAACTGTTTTATGGTCTGAAAAAAAAGGGGGCGGGGGTGGGGTTAACACGCGACTGGTTGGTTTTTTTGTAATGTTTTACTTGAATATTATCAGTTGATACCTGATGTATAGCTATATTTATTAGCCCATTTCTGATAGTGGCAGATATAAGCATAGTCACATCATATCACAGTGTTAGCTGACAACACAAAAGATGGAATGAATTATTAATGATTAATCCCTTAGCCTTAAAAGTTCTGTTGAAATATTTTAAGTTCCGTCATTACGAGACTTTTGTATCGTGTTAGTTACCGTGAATATTTTAAGACCTTCCTGGACAAGAAGCGTGTAACTTTTTGAGGAATCATGTTCAAGCTTTGGTGCAATTTAGGAGTCACGAATACTGCATGTAGTTAAATTATTTGTTAATATATCATTCAAACACAGAAGTTGACTTTCAACTCATCCATTGCGAAATTTGGTAGTTACCTCCCTTGTTTAATGGCAATAACAATTCCGGAAATGATTTTGTATAATATACAGAAATAGTACTATTTGACCGGCTTTCTTTCTTTCTTTCTTTCTTTCTTTCTTTCTTTCTTTCTTTCTTTCTTTCTTTCTTTTTTTCTTTCTTTCTTTCTTTCTTTCTTCTATGGAAAACAACCAAAGGTACTTTGTTTTTAATTCACCCAAAAAGTCAGTCTTGAAGTTTCCAGGAAAGTCCAGTATATTAGTGGTGTTACTGATGGTGGTTAGGGTTAAGATCTTTGTCAGCTCTAACCCTAACCCTAACCGTAGCCCACATCAATCAATCCTTATCGCGCCCATAGGCACACAAGGCGAAGACAAACATTAGCCACTCAATTCGACCCTATTTCATCGTCTTTATCCCCAGTTTTGTCCTTAGCGTAGCCTTGAGTCCAGCCCCAATGGTTCGCCTCCAAGTACCTTAGAGCCTGCCTTTTCCAGTCAGGATATAATTTGGATCTGTCCCCTGAGATCGCATCAACACTGCAGGGGTCCTTTTTTTTTAGAACTTTTGGTTGCATGCAATGCTAAGCCATTTTAAATGGCGCATATAAACTAGTCACAATTATAACCTAAAACTCCCCCTGCCAGAATGCTGGTTGAACGTTACAATTTTTTTCTTCCAGCAAAGCAACGGCCCGCAGGATATAATATGATGAAGAATAATACAATTCAAGTCACGTTTAACACCATCATGATTGGCCTGTTATATATGTCGTATATTTCTTCAATGTAATCTTTCCCATACAATTAAAGTTGCAAACACATCCCACACTGTATGGACTCCATCTATGACACGGATGTAGATGACCCTGTCTCGCAGACTAGTCCGGTTTAGCCAACTACGCTAGAGAACCGGGCAGTGGTGCTCGATAAAACTTTCAATGTCAGAGTGGAGGGCGGCAGCCTGAACAAGTAAAAAAAAAAAAAAAGAAGCTAAAAACCCTGCCCCATTGCAGTTCAGCCCAATGTGAATCTGGCTAGTCGCTATAGTCTGTACTGATGACAGAAGCAGCAGTCTGGTTGTGGTCGAAATGTGTAGGTGGTTGATCACGGGCCAATGCTTGTATGAGGTATTTGGCGCATCTGCTGCATGTTCATCGTCTTAGGCTTAGTCCTGTAGTACTTGACGCGTCTTGAAAATTTCGAGTACAGAGTCTTGTTCATCGTAGACTATAATTTGTAATGGTTCGGGTGTGAAGGTGGCGAACTTTAATTCCAAAGACAACGCCATTGAACACGGCATCTCAAATTGGTCATTGATATATATATATATATATATATATATATATATATATATATATATATATATATATATATATATATATATATATATCGTCATTGACGTGTCACTGTGCAGTCTGACTAGCGATCAGGAGAGGAAACTGTGGATTGTTCTCTCGTCTAGCTGCTTGGATAACTTATTACCGAATCTAAAAATAGAGACCACCCCAAAACAACCATGAGTTTTTACGTCACGCTGCCTAGCAACACCATATCGAAAATATTTCCTGACAATCAACCGGGTCACGTTTTTGTGGAACTACCTAAGAACATCGACTTGAGTTCTCTGTACGAAGTGGTCTGAACAACTAATTGATAGATGAAAACGACTTCAGGTCGCTGTCGTAGTTTGCTGAACTAGGGTCGTTCACCGCCATTGGGTTCTACAGCCAAGACTGTAATGGCATACATTTTGTCCTTTTCTTCAATAAATCTAGTTTCCGTACCGCTCGAGTTGTTGGTCGGCTATCCAACCATTGAATGAGGCACGATAACCAAACCACTTGACTAAATATTCTCTACTATCTCTGAGGCCTCGTTTTTCTTGTTTTCACTTTTCGATTTCATAAATTTCTTTGTCCTCTTTGTAAAACGCACCTCGTAGTTCCTCATCCGAATTATCTTTCAACACATAAGTTATCGGCTTGGTCCTGTGAACACGACTGTCTGTAAACAATTCTTTGGTTCACGCTGGCATATAACTTTTCTTGAATGTGTTTTTTTTTTTCTTTCTCTGAGCGAGTCTGACACGACCCCCTTATTAAAACACTTGTGTGTCAGTGACAGCAACTTTTACATACAACGTTTGCCACAATTCTTCTTGATTACTAAGATTAATTAAGACTGGTCAATAGGAATACTCCGGTGATAGGAAAGATTATAATTCGGCAAAATACTACTCAACACATCGACATAACGTTGCTTGCTGGTTTTAATAAAATAACTTCACACCTTTTCAACCGGTTGAATCTTTCCACAACTGCAACTTTCACATCTTAGTTTTCTGTGGAAAGAAAAAAAAAAAGCATCCCCGTCTTTGAGAAAATATAGAAAGTTTTGTTGACACATTCTGAGCCTTTGTCTGATTTCCAGTTGCTCGCTTTCCGCTCGGCAGATATTGTACCTACTGCCTCCACTAATGCTTTTTTTTTGGGGGGGGGGGGGGCATAGCCCAGGCATATTTACTGAATAGGTCTATAATAGTGACCAAGTACTACATCCCGTTTTTGTCTTTTATTAAAGATCGCATGTCTATAGATCAGACTGGAATTGTTGGTTGATGCCACCGGTTATAATCAGACGTCTCTGGAAATGTTGACAGATCGGTTTATGCAGAGTATATGCATCTTGGGGACTTAGCCATTCTTTGACATCTTTGGTCTTGTTTTTGTTGTAAGGCGACAGCACCACTCGGGTCATAGTAAAGTTTTCTCAGCAACGCTGCCATTGTTCCCTCCGGGGTGTAGATATTTTAGATTTCTTCGCCTCTCTTTGCCTTAACATACATGACAATATAGATGGTGTCTCCAGTTCAACAATCTTCTTTGGACTTTTAACGGGCGGCGACTGAACTGGTGTGTCCCCGCTTTCGTCTTTAAGTACTGTTGGTGGTGGCGGTTGTGGTTTTGTAGTTGGGGGCGGAGTTTTGATATCCACTACCCCCAACAACTTGTGTCGGTACTGATCGAGTCGAGTCAAGTAACGTTGCAGCGTTTGTTGATGTAGTCTCGCTCTGTCACGCAGCGACAATTCTGCGATTTCCAGGACATGTTCCATCTGTGTATCTAAATAGCGTAGGTTATCGTTGACTTTGTCCGATGGTACAAATTGTTTTTGGAACATAGGAATAAACTCCACAGGGGAGCATCTACAGCAGGGATCTACCAATCGTCAGTAGAAGTAATCTCTCGTCGACAAACGTTTCGGCCCACGAGCTCCTAGACGTTTTCAGAGAGTGGCCCCACCTGAGTTCATGAAGCGCAGGGTTGGTTTCCCTGCTGCACGAAATTACCGGATGGTGTTCGGATAGGGACAAGACGAACTGGTGATTTTGCAGAAGGTACTGTGAGATAAGAAGTCGCCGCGGTAGCATAATTAGAGCAGTCTGCGTACCTGGACGACCAAGCGACAAGCTTACGATTGGTATACCGGACACATGTTGGACTTTTGTTAGCAGCTGGCAGAGGAACACTGGCAGACAGTTCGGACAAGATGGACTTTCACGGGATGAGAAACATTTTTCAACTAGGCACCCGGCTCAGCTCACCGAGGCCCGTCCCCTACGTTGTTCCGTTGCGTCCAAAGCCAGCTCGAGGCCCTCTCAGCAACCTCGCCCAGTCGTTTTAGTGTCCGTTTCCGTTCATTACCGCGCAATCCTAGTTCTTTAACCACATAAACTCTATCAAGCGTAAATCTATCAATATCATTCATTTACCATGGTAAGAAACCCAAGACACCTTTTACCATGTTTAGAAATGGAGCTAATAAGGCCCCGAGGAAACCGCCGTGCTGCAAAATCTGTCCGCTGACTGACTGACTTTCTACCCCACCAGGACATCACACAAGCGATAAACACCCGATGACACAAAGTGCCACCATGCGGATGAGGATCGCCGTGGAGAGGTCCCAGAAACCGCGTTCAGACAATTGGCCATATTTATGGCCTGCCTATATTGTGGCCCCTGGCAAAAAGCCAGGGTGGGCTTCAAATAACCAAAAATTTCGTCCTGAAAAGGACGAAAGCGGATAAATAATATCTTATAAGTAATCTGTCCGCTTTTTGGCTGAAACATTCTATTGATGAGCGCTCTGTGGTTGTTTTTGATTGGACACAGGCATGTGTTTGGCCAGTTTTTAATCTGTGAGCCGTCACGAGGGTTTTTAAAAATTATTATGTAATGCGCGTTTAGACTGATGGTTCTTTGTTCTGTATTTTTTCCACACAAGTTTTGTACAGTAAAAAAAAGCTGATGATGCGATGATGTCTGCCTGTAGTAAACAGCTTAGTGACTTTGTCCCTTCGTCTCGGCCATCAAATCGTCTTTAACCACTAGAAGTCACCTATCACTGCGCCATTGTTCCATGTCGGAAAGGCATTATGTAAAAA